TTTGTGGAAGAAATAGAGGCGTTTATTAATGCCTCTGATTCATATGTATTGCCTACAAACAAAGATTCGTACTTTTCTGATGAAAATGATACGGTCTCACCCACAGGTAAGCTTTATGACATTAATAATATATTTGTGAAAATGTATTTAAACTTGTAAGATTTTGAAACAAAGTATATATACGTATTCAGATGATCTTGTTCCAGCATATAAAAATTGAATTTTGCAGTTTGTCGTAAATCAAAAGTAGTTGGGTAAAGGTCATCCAAAAGGGTCGATTGAGCCAAAAAACCCTATTTTTTCCATTTCCTATAAATTTAATTACTGTTATTTATTTTGTAATAGTTTATATAGTCTTGTTTGGTGCTTTTCTTCATTACCAGATGTTATTATAATTTTCACTTTATTATTCAATTTTCTGTCCTGACGATTTCGTTCTGCAATATCTCTATCAGCTGCTAGCCCCTTTTCTTCTCATACCCGGCCCTTGGTTTCAATAGAACCTGCATTGAAGCTTTTCCTGTGCTATCCTTTCTGTGTAATAATAGTGTATTAAGCCCAAAACTTTATAAAAATGTGTAAGTTTAATAAAAAATTTACATTGGCCTTGTTTTATAGGGTCGCTTTCAGTTTACACGCTCGTGACCAACGGCTATCAAAAAGTACGTGATAATTCACAGCTAAACCTTTAGCTGTTGAAACGTACGGTCGATTATTCTTAAAAATGTGTTTATAAACCCACACTTTGATTTGATAAGCGAGAAAAATTCACAATCGCTTCCAAGAAATCTTTAATCTTGCAAAAAACTCTCCTCAACATTCCCGTTCTATGTTGGTTTCTTTTCTAATTCTCAAAAGAGCTGGCCTAAGCGAAATACAAGTATACATAAAAAAAAACAGACAAGAATTCTGACATCTTCCTCAAGGAACAAACATTTTGTGGGCATATTTCTTAGTTCCGTTTACAGCTATTGTATTATATATAGTTTGATAACAAGATAATTGCTTATAAGCCTGTGTAATAGGCATGATTGTTTGACTAAAATTGGTATATACATTCATCACTTGAAATTACTAGTTTACAATCGAGTCGTTTTCTTATGGTGCGTCTAGACCGAACGAACCAAGCACGAGTCGATCCTGAGCCGCATCAAAATTCCGTTGATATATTTTTTTGAGGCAGACATCAAATCGATCGTTTGTCGGTGTTTTGACGAAATTTCAAAGGAATTTTGCCGCGGCTTAAGCTCGGCTCGTTATCCTGGACGCGGCGTTAAATTATTCATGATTTATTCGTTTGAATCTTGTATTTTATGAAAATGTCATAAAATTAACGGACGTTAAGTACTTATATTTCAATATTTGTTAAAGTTTCGAGCATAGCAATGAAAATTGGATTTTGATTTTCTTCCATTGTGTTTCTTTCTCAACTGCCGCATCAATAAAAATTCTATAGGGCAAGGTCAGTTATCTTACATGGCGATTTTTTAATTTGCAAAATGTTCCATGCAGTTGAAAAGTGCCGGTTCTATAAATGACGATTCTTAGAAAATTAGTTTGATCCCAGGCTTCAAAAATTGGTTTTTCAAAAACTAAATACGCATGTAAAGTGTCTCCAAAGATGAAAGATTATGTATATGCAAAGAATTTTACTAATACGATGACAATATTTTCTTCTTTTGAGGTCATCTGTTTTTCCTGCCAAGAGTTAAACCAAAAACCGTCAACTACAGAAGAGGCTTAGAAATGCCATCTACTTCTACAATATTAAAATTATCAGTTTAAAACTTAAAAAACAATTTACGAATATGTACATTCCCACTTAAAATTTCCTTAATTTTTTTTATTTTTAGAATCAGTATAATTTTTTTATATTTTCTGCTACTTCTGAATTGTTCACTCCTCAAATTAAATATTTACGATACATTTTTGGACTTAGTTCTGCTACCGAATCTCATTTCAAAATCGTATAACAAATGGCTTCAGTGCCTTTAATGTTTGGGAACTTTTTTAGGTAATAAGCAAAAACTCATTTTTTCTTGTTTTCGATAGAATCTAATTAAAAAAAAAACGTGGTTTTATTGAAAAGGAGTGCTGATTTCCTTTCATTCGGTCATATTATTATCGAAAAAAAGCTAATTATTAGCGCGCTAACGCGAACACTAATACCCACCTATCCAAGTCTATCTTATTATTTTACTTTAAAACGTATTATAAATTGTAGTTCATTTTTTATTATCGTTTAAGCATATTGGCATAGAAAACTAAGTAACCAAGCCCTATCAAATATTTGTTACAGATAAAATTAAATTACCTATTATCTCGCATGATGTGACAAAATTATTTCAATTACTCAAAAACTACCTACTTAAAAAATTACAACAAAGCTAGCTGACTCAAGTACATATTTTACATACTTAATGAATTTAAGTGTACTTACTACTAAGTAACAATACAGTTTACTTTTTGTCGTCCGGAATATTACAGATATAATACACAGGGGCGGATTAAAGCTTTACAAGGCCTGAGAATGAAATAAATATGGGGCCTAATGGCAGTGAAATGTGAACGGATTTTAAATATTCCTGCCCCTGCTAGGCCTTCGGTTAATCCGCCACTGATATTACAGGGCGAGAGTAAAATAATTGTTGCTTAAATTTTTCAGATTATGGTACATACGACTTCATAATTGTCGGGGGTGGAGCGGGTGGAGGAGTACTGGCTAATCGTCTTACCGAAATAGAAAATTTCACAGTTCTTGTGGTTGAAGCTGGCAAAGTAGATCCGCCAATATCTAGAATAACTGGCCTAGCCGCCTATTTAAGGAATTCTGACTGGAACTGGGGATATTGGAGCACGGTCCAAACCAAAGGGTGCTTAGGTAACTATTTTTAAATTCAAGAAGTTCAATTCAATGTAGATATCAAAGTAAACGAATTGTTCTTTAAAATGCATCGTCTCCTGACCAAAAGTGCAAATTCACCGCTGGAAAGGGTTTAGGAGGCGGCAGCAGCATAAACTGGGCTATACACGTAAGAGGTAACGCAGCTGACCTTGATAAGTGGGAAGATCTCGGAAACAGTGGCTGGTCTTATAGTGACTGTCTACCATATTTCAAAAAATCTCAATTTGGCAATTCTTCCGTTGATATTGACACGGATTATCAAGGAACCGACGGTCCACAGTCTATTACTGTGGCTGAAGATACACCGACATTGGTAACAACATTTTACTATGTTGTTGGAAAATTAATAACATCTTGATTATTTTGCTTAATTTCAGACGCAAGAGATAATAAACGCCTTTACAGAACTTGGCAAAACCGAAGGCGATTATAACGGAGCAGATCAATACAATGTTGGACGCATTCAATATTTCCAGAAGTACAATGTTCGGTCAACAACGGCCAATGCTTATGTGCGTCCAGTTCTAAACAGGACTAATTTGGAGTTAATTTTCGACGCTTTGGTCACTAAGATAGATATTTCCAATAATACTGCGACGGGAATCCAATTTTGGCAAAATGGAACTCTTTATTCGGCTACAGCAAGCAAAGAAGTCATTCTGTCGGCAGGCGCTATTGGTTCCCCACAACTTTTACTGCTCTCCGTGATTGGCCCACAAGAGGAATGGAACATAACATCACCACTTTGGTGGATTTACCAGTGGGTAAAAATCTGATTGATCATATTAATTACGGAGGCGTATTTTTCAGGTAAGTTGAAATGAAACTTTATTATTCATACATGTACAACTTATTAATTATACAGGGTTATTCACGCTATACGGCACGGACGTTTGCGGCTAGCCCGTTTGTTTCTTGCAAAGTATTATTTGATGAATCCACAGACGCCTATCGGGTGCACATTT